ACGCAGTTGGGTTTACCAGGAGGACAGCGATCCTTGCAGTCTCCCATCTCAGGATAACAATCAGGTCTGCAAGAGCTATCGTGTGGTTTGCATCTGACAAAACTTGGTATTTGATCATTTTTATCTTTGTTGTTTAGGTATGGTTCTTCGCAATACGGATCTCTGGGGTCGCATTCTTTGCATGTTGGATCTTCCGGATCGTAAATGCATATATCTGAATTGTCTTCAAGTGTTGGGAACTGCGGTGGAATCCTAACGATGCAACCGGGTTTATTCTCGGGGCATATAGTCAGACATTTGCTGTATCCTGGAGCACAATCGATTTGACAATGAGGATCCTCAGGTTCGCATTCCACATATGTTGGCAATGTTGAACTGCCAATTTCATCCGCATCAACACGAATCATACAGTGCGGTTCGTTCGGTGCACAGTACATCGGACAATCACCTAAGAGTAGACTGCATTCAGGAATGCAATACGGGTCATTCTTGAAACACTTTTTGATTCTCGGATTTTCCAACTTGAAATCTTCTGGAATCTTAATAGGACAAACACGTTTTCCCGGTGGACAATCCACGAGTGTGCAGTCTTCTGGTCGGATGCAATCGGGTGTGCATTCTGGTGTGTAAGGCTTCTTGCATTTGAAAAAATTTATTATAGGTTCGTTGAGCTTGGATGGATCGGTGCAGGTGTAATCGTTCACGTCGCAGAGATCCTCGCATTGCGGATCTCTTGTATCGCACGGAGGTGGAACGAAGACTGTACATTTGGGATTAGACTTTGGACAACCGATCGGGCAATTTCCTTTAGCCGGAATACAATCGACCACGCAATCAGTATTACGCTCATTATCGCACACTACAAACTCTGGTAAAGCCTCGTAGAATTGATCCACTTGATCGTGAGGAACCTTTATCACGCACGACGGATTCAACGGATGACAGAAATGAGGACAGTTGTGCTTCTTCGGATAGCAAGTTGGTACACACGATCTGTCGTTCGGCCAACATCCGATCGCTTCAGGTGACTGCAGTTTATCGAATTCGGGTATTATGAAATTACATTTCAGTTTACCTTTAGGACATGTGTCGGGACACCCTGTACTTCTGGGATCGCATTGCGGTTTGCAATCAGGATCGTCGTACTTGCACACGGTGTATGTCTTTTTCGGGATTAGCTTGTTGCTGGTGTGCACTGGTTTTATATTCACTTGACAAGAGGCATGATCGTCAGGAATGCATTTGGTGAACTGTTCCGGAATCTTCACAACGCAATGCGGTCTACCTGCTGGACAAATTCCTGGACAGTTCTTGTCATTCGGATCGCAATCCGGTATACAATCGTGATCATTGATTGAGCATTCGTAAATATCAGGAACCATATCTGTGTTGATGCCATCGGCGACGATTAAAACGCAGTTTGGGTTGTCGGGAGAACAGAAAACAGGACAGTCGTTATGGTACGGATCGCAGTCCGGTTCACAGTGTTCATCTCTGGGTGAGCATGTCTTGTATGTCGGAGGTTGAGGTTTGTAGTCGGTCGGAAGTCTCACGATGCATTTGGATTTACCTTTAGGACATTTCGATGGACAATTCCTGTTTTCGGGATAGCAATCCGGTTTACATTGTCTATCGTTCGGGAGGCACTTCAAGTATGTGGGTTTCTGTGACTCGGGGAATTGTTCAGGTACTCTGAAGATGCAATCATGTTCTTTTCGTGGACAATTGTTTGGACATTGATTCTTCTTTGGATCGCAGTCAATTTTGCAATTGTAATCATGCGGTTTGCATTCAATTAGCGTCGGTGGGTTTATCGTTGATCCCATTGGTATACTGAATACGCAATGCGGCTCGTTCGGAGGACAGTATAACTGGCAATTATTTCTGTCTGGGTCGCAATCGGGATGGCAGTACCGATCTTGGCAGGGCTCGTAAGTTGGAGTGGAAAGTTCCGAATTCGATGGTATTTTAACGACGCACGATGGATGCGATTTGGAGCATTTCTTCGGGCAGTTGTTGCGTCTTGGATCGCAATCCGGAATGCATTTGCTGTCATGCGGATGACACTTTTCGAAATGCGGTTCCAGGCATTCGGGATCGTCTCTACCACATTGCATGTGGTCTGAATCAACTTCTGGGTGTCTTTTAGTGTCAGGGATTGGTTCATCGTTGAACAGTAACCAAATATTAGAGATCGGATCGTCGGGATCGGCGATCTCGGATATGTCAGGTAGATCACCAGAAATTAACTTGTAAATTGGATCGAAAAGAGGACCGATCATTTCGATCGCTTTATTCGGAGGACAGTTCAACAGTTCATTAAGCTCATCCAAATGTTTGTACGTGTCGTTCAAGAATTTCATCGTTTTCTGATGAGACGCATCGTGAATCCCGTTCATGACGGAATCGTGAAGCAAATCGAGCTTATACTTTGCCTCTAATCTCACCTTATTAGATGCAACAGATAGATTGTGTGATTGCACCACGTATCTTCCAGCATCCTCGGCTTTCGGTAATCGCGCATCGATCATCTCAATTAACCTCTTCACCTCCAGTTTATAATTATGCGATAGGTATTGTATATCATCTTTCAATGAATTCACGTGGGTCTTGTCCATGGGAATTTCGCATTCGTATTCCAGATCATCGAGCGCTGTTTGCGTCCGCTCCTGCTGATCATTTAAATAATCGATAAATACCTGTTTGTTTTCTGGGATCAACTCGAGCCGCTCGATCCTGTTCTCGAAGTACTGATTCAGCTCGTTGTTCGATGAGATCTCGCACTGGTCTGGTGCTGATGCCACGACAAAAATTGCTGCAATGTTCTGCAGCAATTGTGGATTCATCGTGCAGCAATCACTTGTACGCGTTAACGATTCCCGACGCATTTATAACGTACCCGTCGCGACGCCTCATTTGCAAGGAACAAAGCCAAATTAAGACGTAAACGTTCGGAGCATTGTTAGCCGTTTATTGCATTTCGTTATATTTTGTTTCTTTATTTTTTACGACGCGAAAATTAATTAGCGAACCATATGCTCCAATTGAGTATAAACAGTGTTAACACTTAACGAGTTATTATCTCGTCGATAAAAAAAATCAGTTGAATAAGGCAGAAAGAAGAGGAGACTCACCTGACCGATTAGAATTATAGCGAATCCGAAAGCGTATGCAGATCCTCCCATGCAACCGACGAACATCAGGGTTGCTGTACCCAAAAACTCTGCCAAGAAGATCCTCAGTTTCGAAACTAAAAAATCAATAATTTCATTAAATCTTGCAAATATATTTAAGATAAACATATTTTTTACTTAGTAACAAAAGAAAATGGAAATCTTATAATGGATAAAGATGAGCAAATTAACAAGTTTAGAAATGAGATTAAAGTAATGTTCAATTAATATTTCAATAATTTCATTAAATCTTGCAAATATATTTAATATAAACATATTTTTTACTTAGTAACAAAAGAAAATGGAAATCTTATAATGGATAAAGATGAGCAAATTAACAAGACTCTGTAAAGTTTGAAATGAGATTAAAGTAACGTTCAAGAACAATATCAACTAACACATGGAGATCAAAAAGCAATTTCAATAAATGAAGAAAATAACCTACCTAAACAGAAGGGCTTCTTGGTAGTACGATCATGCAAATCAGATCTGGGTGCATTCTCGTAGCATTGTTGCGAATTATTATAGTTATCAAATTCGTAGCCATGATTAATTTGGGAACCCATACTCTTTGGATCGTATCTAGGTAACCTGACGGGTTCCTGATTCCTGTAATTGTGCTCTTCCCGTTCGTACATGTTTGATTCGATCTCGTCGCGCACTTAACTAATTGAAACAATTCATGCATCGCTTCTGTACACCTCATTATCGAATTTATCTCGTTATCTAGTCCATTTGATAATCAATTAATAAATCTCTCGAACGCGTTCAGTCACACAAACATATGGATTAATTTTTGGTTGTTTTTTTTTGTATGCTATTACACTTCATAGTCTTTACATTTTTACGTGTGTTTATGTGGTCGAGATTATCGGTCCTTCGCTACTTCAGGATTTGTACGAAAAAAAAACGATAACCATCAAATCATATTGATAAAACATAGGTGATAAGCAAAAGCAAAAATGTTGTCTTTTCACTCATAAAAAAAATTCATAACACAATAGAAACGTTTAATCTATAAGTATGTAAGATGAAATGTGAGATGATCAAAATGAAATTATTTATAAAAAATAAACTTTTCCACAGATTCACATTTTTTTTAGTCCCTTATTTTAACGTTATATTGCACAAACATACTGAATTCCATTCAAAAATGATGATTTTACGTATTTTTTCAAATTATATAAATAATCGTCATTAATGCCGATATCATAAACTCCAGTTGTTATCTCTTTATTAAATAACATTTATCTTGTTTTTTATTTCTTGTTTCATAATAACAACAACATGAATTGCTGTTAGTTTTTTTTTAATTTCTTTACTTATTAATCATTGAAATATTGATGTGCCTAATCAAATATTATAAGATTTTGATTGAAATCTTGTAATTGAAAATGTTTCAATATTAATTGCTTTTAATTAAATAACATTGGTATTAATACAAAAATGTAAGTACTTTAGATATGTTGTATTTATTTTATTAATTTATATATTATCAGATTAATAAATGTTATCTTTTTTTTGGGTATATATCCTTTAATCTAACGTTTAATCCATTAAATTTATTTAGTTTTTTATACTTGGAAAACGTTGAATGGAAAAATTGCAGTAACCTTCATACTTTGTATCTGCTACATATTACAATTATATATTTTTTATTTATTAAAAAAATAACCTATCAATATAATATGAGATGAGTAACTTTTTAATTGATTCTATTAATCATAAATTTAAATAATGTTAAAACTTTCTTGAGACACATTGTATAATGATTCTCTGGTTGCCTATATTATTATCCTTTATAAACTGACAGCAGTATTATTTTTTATTTAATAGCATTCGTTCATAACCTATTTTATATTGCGAACAAAATTAGTGGTTTATACAAATAGATCGAAATGAATTCGAGTGAAGAGAACGAAGATATCCTGCAGAGACACCGGAAGGAGCGTAAAGATCTCCAAGGAAAGATCACTGCCCTGAAGAAGAGCATTCCGAAGAACGACAAGAAAAAGAAGAAGGAAGTGTCGGAAATCATTGAGAAGCTCGAAAAGGAGCTGGAGGAGCGTCAGAAAGAGGAGTTGGCGGAGCAGCCCCAAAACGGCGGTGACATTAGAGGTGACGTTGACGATGTGGTGAATGTGGAGAATGGGGATGCTTCAGAAGAAGTGGTCCAGGAGAAGAGGGTGTCCAAGGCTCAAAGGAGGCGCAACAAGAAGGAGGCTGAGGATAAGGAAAGGGATAAGAGGATAGAGGAGCAGGAGAAGATAAACAAGAAAGGACCCAGGGTGCAGGAGCTCAATTCCATTGTGGAAGCATTAAAGAAAGACAATTTACAAATCTACGATATACCAGCAGATGGTAACTGTATGTATTGTGCGGTGCAGCACCAATTAGAGATCACTGATAGGGAAACCTACAACGTGGACCAACTGAGATTAATGACTGCCACTTTTATCAGAGAGAACAAAGACGATTTCATCCCATTCATGTGTAATGATGATGAGGAGCTTTTAAATGATGAACAATTTGAGAAATACTGCCAGAATGTAGCTAAAACCAAAGTGTGGGGAGGGCAATTGGAATTACGCGCTCTCTCCAACGTTCTGAGCTCCCCAATAAAAGTGATTCAATCCACTGGACCAACGACCATACAAGGAGAGCAATTCAAGGGAACACCAATGACCTTAACATACCACAGACATCTCTACAGATTAGGAGAACATTACAACTCAACATCGGCTTTACAAAAGGAAGAGGACAACTAGAAGTTCAATTGTTTATTCTTAATAATTAATTATTAACTGGATGTTGACGATTGCTGCTGCTGCTCCTCATCCTCCTTATGCTTGTTTGGGTCATCTGGCTTCATTGCTGGGAACAACAGTACCTCCTGAAAAAACAGAACGCAATAAAATAATTTTACTTTTACACATTTCGTTTCAACTATTTACCTTGATGTTATTGTTATCAGTTAAGAACATGGTGAGTCTGTCCACGCCAAGACCCCAACCAGCCGTCGGTGGCAGACCATATTCCAAGGCCGTGCAGAAGGTCTCGTCGACCATCTGAGCTTCGTCATCGCCGGCAGCCTTATCCTTTGCTTGCTGTTCGAAACGTTGCCTTTGCACGACGGGATCGTTCAACTCCGTGTACGCATTGCTCACTTCCTTCTTCATAACGAACAGTTCGAAACGTTCGGTCAGACCGGGGATGTCGCGGTGCCACTTTGCCAGAGGGCTCATGATCTGCGGATGCTCGGTAATGAAAGCCGGATTGATGCAGGTCTCCTCGATGTACTCCCCGACTAATTTGTCCAATAATCTGGCGGTGGTCCTCGGTGCCGGGCAATCGACTCCGTGTTTAATACACAAATCGCTTAAGAATTGTTTTGTAGATTCGCTGTTCATCTCGACGGCAGGAGGGAACTTAACGTTCAGGGCTTTTTCGAGCGCTGGAATCATTGGGATCTTCTTGAACGGCGGTGTGAAATCAATCTCCACTTCTTCGCCCTCCGGTCCGTCGGGATGGTATTTAATCTTGTACGATTTATGGATGCTGTACACCATTCCAGAAATCAAGGTTTCGGTGATCGTAATCAAATCATTGTAATCGGCGTAAGCCATGTAAAATTCGCACGTCGTAAATTCTGGGTTGTGAGTCAAATCGATGCCTTCGTTTCTGAACTGACGACCAATTTCGTAAACCCTATCTAAACCGCCGACGACCAACATCTTCAAGTACAATTCAGGCGCGATACGCATGTACAGGTCCATGTTAAGGTCGTTGTGATGCGTGATGAACGGTTTGGCTGTCGCGCCGCCGGCGATCATGTTCATCATCGGAGTTTCAACTTCCAAGAAACCCATCTCGTCAAAGAAACGCCTAATGTAAGAAACGATCTTGGAGCGAATCTGGAAGATGTTCCTCACCCTGCCGTTGATGATGATGTCCAGGTACCTTTGCCTGAATCTAGTCTCCTTATCCTTCAATCCGAAATGCAGATGGGGCAACATGTGCAGGCACGGCGACAACAAAGTGATCTTCTTCGGCATCACCGACAGCTCGCCCTTCTTGGTTTTGGTCGGGAATCCCTGCACGCCGATGATATCGCCCCTACGAATTTTTCCGGTATCCTCGGCGAACTTCTCTTCGCTCACGTAACTCTTCGCTGTTGCCATAATTTGTATCTTGACGCCCTCCCCTCTCAGATCGTAGAAAATCAATTTGGCTCCAGACTCTCTGATAGCATGCACACGTCCAGCAACGCTGAGCTCCGTTTCTTTGACTTCGCCATCTCCAATCTCCGAATAGTCAGCAATGAACTGCTCCAGTGATGTGGATACATGGAACTTGTGTGGATAGGGCTGTTGATCTTTGCCCAGGGTCTTCAAATTAGCGATGGCCTGACTCCTCAATGCAAAATATTCATTCGGACTGATCTCCTCCTCTGACACCTTCTTGGCAGCAGAAGCAGCTGGCTTTGCTGGTTGCTGCTCCAACTTCTCTGCCTTCTCCTTGGCTTTCTGCTCTGCCTTCAGCCTCCTCTTCAGCTCACTGAAACATAATACATGCAGTTCAATCTCGCACCGATTTCAGACCCTGTACCTTTTCGAGACTTGGGCCAAGCCACGCACATTGAATACAGCGCTGCATCTGTTTAGCACTTTCAGCATTTTTGAGGTTAACTTTTCAGAAAATACACGCAAACCCTTACTTAATGCCACTTACTTTTTCGAGAGCTTTTCGCCGGCCGCATCAGCCATTATCGATAACAATTAAATAGTATAATAAATTAATATATAAAAAAATACTCCTCGGAGTATTACTAAACAACTGTTCAAATTCGGAAATATGGTTCCGCTCCGACTGACAGCTACTCAAAGAGGAAATTTTGCGTAACTTTTTACGCAACTTAAGCAATTCACATCTGCTTATCCATAGATTGCTTTAGAAATTAAATAGTAATTAGACCAATTAGTTAAGAATTTTCATTATTATTTAACTAATATTTTCAAATTTTCCACTCCAATCTGAAGTTAGGTGATATACGATTTTTAGTGCACGTGTACTTATCTGACACTTAGGTTAATATAATAATATACAAAAATTATTATTAAATGATTTACCATAGACTATATAACTATACATATTACAAGTAATAAATCAATTAAATTTAAGATGTAAAGCTTTGGAAATTATATATTTTCTAATGTGATTGTTTGGTTGCCTATAATACTTTCCCGTAATATAAAACTTTTCAAGTTAGTTCAGGTCTTTTGGCGCTGAATGTTTAAACTGATTACTATTTACTTAATGTAATAAATTCTAATAAACTTTATTGGGTAATTAAGTAAGTGATAATAAGTACAATGTATTTATAAAGTTTACAAGAAACAATCAATATTAATAATAAATAGTATTAAGATTCATAATATGTTGGCGTGTTCCGGTGTTCCGCAAATAGGAAAAATCTTATAATTTATAAAAAAAGAACTAAAACATCATCTTCTGTTTCTTCCGCAATCAAATAAAAAATATTAATTTTAGCTGTATATCAACCACAAACTATGGGAAGAGCGTAGTGGAAACTGGTGCAACGTGGTCGTGGTGACGATGCGTCCATCATCGGTGCATGAATTTTTCGGGGGTTCCATCGCCTCAAGACTTCTATTCACTCGAGTGGTACATGTTCGACGATGATCTAAAATACATGAGCCGTTAGGGATGTTATTTTGTATTCATTGTTCAACGTAGTTTGCGTTTTTATACGGTTTTAGGGCATGGCTGCACTAGTCTCTTTTGTTGGAAAGCAAAGAAAGCGGAAAAGCGTTCGGACGTATTGACTAGAGATAGTGTTAATGTCTATTTGTTGTTACCTTGGAGAGCATTTGTCTATAATGAAATTCTGAGGTGGAGGGAGGCCTGGCGGGGATTTCGCGGCCGCGGCGCCGAAGCTCTTGAGTGACTTCGACTAGATCCAGAATATTAATCGGATCCACTTTGTGTCTACCAATCAGCCCGACTAAATACTCGATGTAGTGCAGCCTAACCCAAACAAACAAATCAAAATCAACTAGAGTTATAAGACGAGAGCACAAACAAAAACAAACAAACAAACAAAAAATGCGTGTTAGGAACTACTATGATGATGGTTTTTAGGCACCTGACTAAGCCGTTGCCTGTACACTTCTCGAGGTGTTCCGTAAGCGTTCGGGGGCAGTTTTCTAGCCGCCCTCCGAACAACAGTCTCTAAATCATCCGCATTCAACAGAGGCAACGGATCTATCCTATTATTCCTAATTAATAAACATAGGTACTCTATGTAATGATTCCTGCAATTACATTAACGTTGAACCAATCAAATTACAGTCAATAGATTCAATAAGTTGTCATATGTAAAATATATGAATGCTAATAATCCATATAACAACTTGGAATATCCTTAAAATAAACAATAACTTTACTTTTCGTATGAACAACTTCAACATAAATATGAAAATCTAAATTATGAATTAAAAATTTTATAAACATTATTAATTATTTAGTTTTGATGTATACATTACCTGCATAGTCCTGCGTGACCTGTCACAACTTCGTTGTTACAAACTGTATCCAAAAGACCGGCCGGAGTTTCCTTCTGCAATTGTATGGGACATTTGGGGAGCGCCACTGCATTCTCTTCTTTGTCACCGGGCCCTTCCTTATCGAATTTGACCTTATTTGTCTGGAATCATTTCAATGCAATTTCAGATCTTAACATAACAAATACCAAAAGAAATCCTACGGTCAATAGATGTTGCAATTCTTCGGGTTCTTTGTCTCGCAAGTAAAATAAGCAGTTTCTTGGATGATGCGCGTGCAGTCCTAATTTTCCGCAGTATTCACTGACGCCGCACTTGGCGCCCATCGTGAAAGGCTTGTAGCAACCGTAGCAGAACTCGTGCTTGCATTGCGTGCAGGTGAAGTGCATGCAACCGCCTCTTGCCAAAGAGTATCGGAATTTGCACTTGGGACAGTCGATGCCATTGTCGGCCAAGTGCTTTTGAACGGCGCTCGCCTGGCTCTCCGGATCGTTGCCTTCCTTCCATTCAGCAAACTTTTCGCAGGTGATTCCCTCATGCTGCTTTTCCCACTTGAATAACGATCATTAGATCATCACATACAAACTAAATCTTCAACAACTTACAGGTCTCCTGCAGTTAGCGCAAGTCACCGATCTGCAGTCCGGGCAGATCAAACGCTTCTGCCTTGGATTCGCTATGAATCCAGAGGAACACTGTAATTAAGATTACATAATTTTAATAATAATGAAAGATTAACTATATTAAAAGAAGATAGCATACCTGGACGCACCACTTGAAGTGCGGGTCTTGCAAGAGGAAACGATCTCTGAGCTTCCTCTGGAACAACTCGTGAACAGCTTCATCCAAGATTCCCTTTAACAGTATATCCAAGTTTCCGAAGTAATCGGAAACTTCGTCTTCGGTTATTTCTGTGCTGTAAAGTTCAGGATGCTTGCAGAACGGGCAGATGCAATCCATGATATTTCTGTCCGTGATCTGGATAGTGAAATAGTTCTTCGCGCATTCCTTGCAACAGCTGTGCACGCATTTCAGCATCGAGACCATGTTGCTCATAGCACATTTCCCGGCGCACAGTTCGCATTCCTGCTCCAGGTAGGCCAACGCGGAATCCAATGTGCTGCAGCCTTGAACCGCTTCTAGGGACTCTTCCAAATCGAACTTCAAAGAGAGCAGACTGATCGCAAGTTCGGCTTGCTCGTACGTCTGCACCTGACCCTCGGCCAGCAACCTTCGCGCTTGACGCTAAATCAAAGAAAAGAAAATTTCAACAACTGAAAGCAAGTGTTTCCTCGTAGTTATTTTACTGTAAATGGAATGGCGAATGAATTAAATTACTTGTATGATTTTCATTTTTACCTCCATCACTTCTCTCTCTGTGGGCTGTCTAATTTCGACATTCAAATTGGCCGTCAACTGTTCGGTGAACACAAATTTCTCTTCCTCCTCTTCCTCAATTATATCATCCACTATATCATCTTCATCGCCGCTTTCGTACTCTTCCTCCTCATATTCCTCATCATCATCATCCTCTTCTTCTTCATCGTAGATAATACTGTTTTCCACGAGCTCCGTCGTCAACTGCACGACTTTCTCGCTCAGCTCCTGTAACCTGGCTCCCATTCCATCATCAACATAATTCTCGTCTTCCTCCTCGAAATCATCATAATCTTCGGAACTCTCCCCAGAAAGCAACTCTTCCAGATTACTCTCTGACACAGATGAATCGCTATCGTTGTCCAGCGACTTCGTATAAGAGAGTTGTTTTGAACTAGTCGTCGAGTCCATCGAATTCATCTTCGTGAACTTCTTAATCGTGTCCATAGAATTCTGAATATCCTTAGCTATCTGATGGGTTTCTCCGTGCTTGGTGACCATTGCGTCTTCGCTTGAGGCGCTCACCAATTCTTCTTCGGACGTTGATGAATCGTTCGTCGAAACGTTAACTACACTGACGGTTTTCCTTATCGGAATCTTCGATATCTTCGGAGTAACAAGCGGCTCTTTGTTAACATTTCTCTGCCGGGAAATTGGTATTTTCGATGGCCGAGTAACAATATTTACGCTCTTCGTGCTGACACCGTTCGCTAATTTGCTTGTATTTTTGTTAGTTGCTTCTTCTAAATCCTCGGATTCCTCGGACGTAGATGACAGAAGTTTCTTATTTGGGATTGCATCAAAATTGTCTTGTTTCTTTAACTTCTTTGTACTTTCAGAACTATTATTAGATGAATCACTTTTACTGCACGAAGCAGACGAAGAGATTTCCTTAGATTTTACTTCTTTGGTTTTTCTTTGTTCATTAGATGAATTAGATTTTGTAGCACTCTCAGAACTTTTATTAACATTTAAAATTTCAGAATTCCTCTTCTTATTTTGTTTACCTTTTTCTTTAGTTTCGACAGATTTCTTTCCTTCACTGGAAACAATAACAGGTGCTTGCATTTCATTAACTTCAGTTTGTATAACATTTTCTTTAATTTCTAGATTTCCATTTGTCATCTCAATGCTGGAAGCTACAACACATTCAGTATGTATTTCTACATCTTCAGCCTTATTATTAGATTTTACTTTCGAACCTTTCACTCTTTTCCCTGTTTCATTTTCATCTTGAGTAGTAGGAACGATTTTAGTTTGACTAATGATTTCAACACTTTCCACGTTTTCTTCATTTAATGAAGACTCATTTGTTACAGACAATTCCTCAACATTATTTTGCTTCTTATTACGATTCTTTCCTTTCCCTTTACTCGTGACTTTAGATTCTTGGACTCTTTTAGAACTGCTATTTTCTTCTAATAAATCCGTAACAATTTCCGTCTTAGCTAAATTATCTTCAATTCCATTTGGAACTTCATTTGAAGCTGCAGCAACATTCACTATTTCTATAGTATTCTTAGAAGTGGATACGTTCTGATTATTATCTATACCATTTTCTTTCTTTTTATTTATAGAATTTTCACATATTCCATTTTGTTTAATATTTGTAGGTTTATTATCATTTCCAATTTCTGAAACATCTGTTGAATTAATATTTTGCACACGCTTATTGCGTTTCATTTCCTTACTTTTGCCTTTAACAAAACCTTCATTATCCTGTGATTTTTTTACATTTCCATTAGAGTTAGTAACAATATTATTTGTTTCAAAATTTGAATTTCCACTTTCTTTAACTTCCACTTCACAAATTTCATCAGATTCTACCTCAGAAAAGCTGTTGTTCTCAGAAACTTGTTCAGAAATCACGAAATCTTCTTTAATTACCACTTCAACTTTTTCTTTACCATTTAGTGTCTGAGCGATGTTTGTCTTCTCAACTTCTTCCAAAGTTATACTTTCTTCCTGTTTAATTTTATTTTTTTCGGGCTCGTTCACAATAACCGCTTGCTTACCATTCTTCTTCCGTCTCCTTCTCTTTCTATTATTACGCTTTTCGCCGCTGGAAGAGCTTTGCGACTCCGACGAATTTTGCCTCAAAATTTCCTTCGTGGTGTTAGTTATAACGTGATTTGTTGAAGTTGAAGCTATTGCAATTTCGGCGGTCTTCGTTTCTAAACTCAACTTTTCTTGCACTGGAATCGAGTTCACGTGATTCGTTAAAGCAATGTTAATTTCTTCCTTGGTTTCAATTGACCCAACTTTTTGATCCGATTGTTCCGAACTTTCTAAAGAATTCTGCTGATTTAATTGCGCTTGCTTCGCTTTAGCCCTACGATTTTTCCGTCTCTGAGTTTTGGTTAAATTTTCTTGAGAACTCGAGGAATTCTCTGCTTCTTTGGGATTATCTATAATTACATTTGAGTCCTGAGTAGTCTTTTCAGAAAATGTCGACGATTCTATTTCTTGAGAATTGGTTATTTTTACATTGGATGAATCATTTTGCGTGATAGAGTTTTTCGGACTGTTGCATTCTTCAAATTGCGATGAAGATCGCTCACTTTCAGACACCGACGTTCCTTGAAACTGCGATGATGATTGTTCACTTTCGGAAGAATCGCTGACTTCAATCTGCGACGAAGAAACTTCACTTTCGGAATTTGAGCTTTGTTTAATGTTATTTGCTGCAGATTCTTTTATCATATTTGATTTATCGCGTTTAATTGATTCAACCAAAATTACTTTAGGTGATGAAGTATCTTCAATTTGCAAAGATGTCTCTGATATATGCGATGATTTTCTGTGTTTAATACTATTAGATTTAGGTGTTTCTTTGATTATGGAATCGTCGTTATCTTTTAATTGATAATTTGTACTTTCAGAAGTAGACGCTTTCGTTGAATTCGATTTCTTACGCTTCTTAGGTTTGTCTTCATCAACAGTCGTAATTATTTCCACATCTTTCGTGTTTGTTTTTTCGGTATCATTATTTTCTGGAGCAACATGTTCTTGATGCGTTTTATGCTGCTCAGGTTCAATAATTATCTTCTCCTCTGAAATCGACGCAGTTTCCCTGACACTGCTCTTCAAGACGATGCTCAAAGTGCTGACCTTCGGAGCTTCAACAATTTTAACTTCCTCTCGGTAAACTTTCAGTCGCGAATCAAGTTCTAAATGTGAGTTCGAATTGTCGCCTGGCGCATCTTCGAAATCAGAGCTGGATTCCGTCTCGCTATCACTATTTTCTTCCTTCATTTGATACTCGTTCCCTTTTTCCGTTACCCGTATAACCGTGCTGCTTTTCTCCAAATTTTCCTTAACTCTCTTCTCAACCGTCAGACTGTTTCCTTGTTCTTCACCGGTCGATGTCGTTGCAGAAACTTCATCAGTAATAGGTTTTTCCATTGCCTGAACTTGATCAATTTGGAGTTGCTCTTCTGGTACTTTAATGGAGACTTCACTGTGATCAATCTCTAGATGCTCTTCTGCTTCTGGAGGCATCGGCAAACTGTTGACTAACTCGAGGTTCTCCATGACCAGAGATTCTACCTGGTCCATGTCCATATTGAGGACGTCCTCTTCTTCGTCGTTCGTGTGATGATGGAATGAGTTGCTTTCAGGGTATGAATTACTTACGTCTAACTCCTCATTGCGTTGCTGTTGCGAGGACTGAAAACTGTTCGTCGCGATGTTTTGGAAGGTTTTGAACATACGCTGGAACACGCCCTCAGATCTTTCGCTTTCAATAGCATCGTTCTGATGCACAGGCGATTCGGTTCTTGATTCGATCGAAGTTTCGGGTTCGGGCGATGAAGGTTTCTCTTCAAATTCCGGCTGTTCGTGCTCTGGATTAGGTTTTGAGTGATTCGTTGTATTAATGGCAACATTTTGCTTCACCGTTTCTGCAGGGAATTCTGTAATTGTTGGTTCGAGAAGGGGTTGAGGTTCGTCCTCGATACCTGTCGGGATTTGATTAGATTTTGGACTCACCGCTTTTGCTATTTCCGCTTGTGGTGAATCTTTCTTACTTACAACCTCTGAAAGGAAAATAATACGTCAGATTTATCTATAATCTCACGTTATTTGAACTTACCTTCCCCCTTAATTATAGGAAGCGGAGCCCCAGCCTCGTTATCATTACCAGTAGCAGGAGGCCCATAAATCCTCATGAGAAAAGGCTTCAATTGCGTCTTGCTTAGCTCAAGATACGCAGCCTCAATATCGCCGTGGTGGGCAGTTAATACCGTCACAATATCCTCGCGACTAAAGTCTCCTTTTGAAGCGAGTTCGCCGTACTAAAAAAAAATCAATTCGATATTAATTCAACATACTTGAAGCTCTTAATTTTATTACCTTTCTTTGGCGTTGATCGACGCATTCGTGGACGGCATCCCACACGTTCCCCTTGTGTTTGCGCAAAGCATCTCTTGCTTCCGTTTCCGAAACTGTTCCAATGATATTAATTGGTCCTTCCCTTCCCAATTGGCTGGCCAAAGTTTGAACGCTGGTCACCGTTGCAGACCAATTCAGCTTCAACCAATCAATAGGGTTGTCATCCTTGCAGTGGGCCAAAGCCGCCTGCACTTCATCAGCAGTGTATTTATGCTGTTCTGCTTCCTAAATTAAATTTTAAATAAAACATAAATAAAAATGATTCTAACTATTGTATTAAATTACCCTAAGCAGTTTAACTAGCTCCAATCCTTGAGATTTGACTGTTTCGTGATGGAAGGGCTCCTTTTCGAGATAAAACGATTCGGACTTGTTGCGCATCAAAGGGGAATTCTGCAAGCAACGAAATCAAATTTATTATTTTCGAATATATTCATCTCTTTGTTTTTTTGCACAACAGATTCAGGGAAATAAGACAAAGGGAAATAACCTCAGACTAACAACAAAAACCTTATTCATCTTCTCTAAGCAAATTTTACCCTGTATCCGAAATCGTGACTCTGTCTGCGGTACAATTCGGGCCTCCTCAGATCCATTATGCTGTAGTAAGATCGGTTTCCGATCTTAGCCATTCTCGGATCCCGTTCGTAATAATCCTCCTGGACGTAAGAGTCGGGACTTTGCTCCCTCGGCGGAGAACCTGGCAGACTCTAAAAATTGAATTTTCTCCTTATTAATCCATTTTTTTTTTTATCGAATCGATTGATCAAGGCAGACCTGGTAATCATCTGTGGACAACGAATGTTTGCTCAAAGATCTAGTGAAATTCCATTCGTTTTCAGAGGGCGAAAGCGTGTTGTGCAAAGAGTTGGAACGCTGTAGCTCCTTTTTGCGATTCGCACGGAATTTTCGGCTCGATCTGCCCGCCTTTTTTGGCTCCACCAAAGTCTGGACATCTTCGTATGTCTGTAAGATCGGATGATGTTAATTTGTTTTTTTAAATTGCTTTCGTATTTACTTGTGTCGACATGTTCTGGGGCGGTGGCGATGTTCCAGTCGAAGCACTGATCTTTTTCTCGCACTGTTTTTCTTCACTGATCTTTACGGTTTCACTGCTAATGTCACTAATAATTTCCCTGGGCGGTGAACAGCCCACCGCTACACTCGTTTTATGCACCACAACTACTTCAGCACTTTTAGTAACACTAGGCTGAGGCACTTCTTCAGTTGCCGCATCAGTTTCCGCTGGAAACAAGATTTGATTTATAGCAAAACGGGGAGGTGATAAGGAGAAACAACGAAACACTTGCACACACACACATATATTGAATCAAGCACACGCACACACAGAGATATATGTATAATATATAGAGAAAGATCATTTTTGTATTAGCTTCTTAAAAAGTGAATTTGGTGCCCGGCCAAAAAGAAATCTTTCTACTCCTACCTTTCTTCGCCTCAACACCCTTCTGTTGTTGCTGCGTCTGCTGCTGCTGATGTTGCTTCTCTTGCACTTCCAGTTTCAATTTGCCGACGCGATTCAGCATCGACTCCGTTTCACTGTAGTCCTTCGAGTAGTCGTCACTCGACCTGTTGCTTCTCTCCGACTTCTTCGATTTGGTGATCTTTTGTTCCGGTTCCGATTCTTCTTCGGGGACTTTTGATGCAGTTTTACAGCAAACGAGGCACACCTTGGTGTTCGCTTCGTTCACGTAGGTGCAGTGCTCGCATTCCCAATTACCGCTAGGCTTCGGCGCCGTCTTCGACGGCATCTTCGGCGGTTCCTCTTCGACGCTGCTCTCGCTGCTCGAATCCTCCCTGATGCTTCTCCTGTTGATTTTTCCCCTTTCCGACTTATCCGCGGTGCTTCGACGTGAAGACATTTCCCGGGGTATGGACGTGGTGCGCGAACGTTCGAATCTTCCGGACTTGCGATCGCTGAACATCGAACGGCGATCGTCAAAGTCCGATTCCTCCTCTTCCTCGTCGCTATACTTGAGTCTGCTCTTCCTGCTCATGTGAGACTTTCTGGATTTGACGCTGTGCGTCGGCGAGGCGGGCCGGGAAGCGTGCGGATGTGGTGGTGGCATCATCTGCGGACCAGGATACGGGTACATGTTCGGACCGTGCCAGGTGCCCATCCACATCGGGTTCATCGGATATCCGGGCATGTTTAAGCTCATGTTACTTCCGTTTTGCTGCATAGCGAATTGGTCCATCCACATCTGCGGCGGCGGACCTTGCGGGTAGCAATAATTCAATTGCGCCATCGACTGTAAACGCAATACAAATTATTACAAATCCAATTCAAAATTGACCGATCGAACCTGATGCATTGGATTAAAAGCGGGCATCTGGTGATGAAGGTGGTGGTTATTCAAATCCATAACGGAAGCGCTATTGATCATACCACCACCCGGACAAGAAGTGTTGCTCAGTTTCCGCAAGGGTTTCAGCTGGTCGGCGCTGGAGATGCTTCCTGATCTTCCTCTAGGACTCCATTCTTCCCATTCCGGATATCCAGTGCTCGAACCCTAATTTACGCAATAAATTATACACAAATTACGGATCAAATTTATAATTCTTACCCTGGATCCATCTGATACGGCTAACGGTATGTTTGGAGACGTGCCTCGCATGAACTCCTGGTGCTGTTTGTAGCGCTGCTGAAGTGACGGACTAGGTAAATCTCTTCCTGTAACCATCAACAAAAACACCATTATTAACCAATCACGATCCGATTGTCGATGTCTTCACCTGTCGGCGTCGGTGGTAAAGGTCTGGTCATCATGCGCTTCAAACTGCCCATCTTGTCTTTGATGGTCGAGAAGCTTCCATCCTTTCGCGGAAGGGTGGAGCTCACCTGAAAAACGCCCGGTTTATCGCTTCAAACGCCCTTTGATTAATCAATTAATTCACCTGCCCACTTCGTTATTAGAAGCACAAAAGAAAGAAAACAAAAACAAGTAAAAATAATAAATAAAAGTCACATCAGAGAAGCGCACAAGTAGAGTAGAAAGATAAATAAATAAATAAGGCTTTGTTTAGTGTGAGGCTAATGTATATTTACAAGTTTCCTGTATTTCCTTTGTTTTACATTTCGCATGAGGTTTTCGTGTATTATATATATATATCGATGATTGAAATTATTAATTATTTTAGGCAACATAATTGCATGCCTACCTGGCTGGAGGCACGTGTCGGCGTTGGGCTGGGACAAGGGCTCGGGCCTACCGAACCGGCGCGACGTCTTCTCGGGGGTGGCACGGGCGGAGGCGCCGGGGGTTCTCCTTTCGGGGGAAGAGGCGGTCGAAGGGGCTGCCGATGAACGTCGATGGTCTAAAACATCAAGACATTCATAACAATAATACCTCAAAACTACAAAAAAAATATTCTCACCCTCCTGATGTGTTTGGTCCTCTTCGGATGACGATGGAACATATCATCGCAGGACAGACAGAAGATCTGCACGCATTGCTCGCACCTGACCGAAGGGATTGAAGATCCGCAGAGCTCGCAGTGCTTTCCATCACCCTTGTTGGTATCTGCACATTGGATAGTGTTAAAAATTGCCGATGTTAAAATTAACATTTTTTTTTTATGTGGAAAACCTACGAGTGCCGTTCTTTGCTGGAAGCGGTGGCGCGTTGCAGTACTGCTGACCGAAATCGATGACTTCGTAATCAGGATCGTTGGATTGCTGATATTTCTTCGACGATCTCGAAAGAGATTTCGTCCTATCGTCTGGTACAGGCGGAGGTGGAGGACCTCCACCAGTTTTATTCTGCAACGATAACAATAAAAAAATGTTTACTTTATGTTTACACAAAGATATCAAGAAATAATTGTTATTTAATGTAATGTGGTTGCAAGTGAATCATTTTTTTGATAAACGAATAAATACGTTATTATGAAATAATTTGAAAATAAACAGTGACTCACAAGTAGAAACTGCCAGTACATGACAATATAATGCACAAACAAAGCCTGCATCAAATTACATTTACGCATTAAATGTTAATACAAAAAATGTATGTGAAGTGAAGTACATTGATTTCTGTAAATTTAGATTTAACAAAATTATCCATAAAATTCAAATGGTTGAAGATTTTTCTCTTTTACGAAAACCTATAAATTATACATTTATATATTTAAAATTAACATCTCAAATATTTATTATATAACTTTTCGCAATATCTTATTTTATAAAAATACATGATAATTACATATGTAGATTTAGTTTCTTAAGTTAAAATTATAATTTGTTCGAGTAAATTTGCATATGAAAATATACGATACAAATGAAATGAATATTTATAGACTGAAAGACTTCGGTCAATGGCCTTTTTACTAATGGCGAATACGTATCATTCTCTTTCTAAATATTTATATATTGCTAAACAGAAAAGGTTATTTGCATTAGATTATGCATCAATATACACTTGACGTTGATTATTTTAATTAAATAATCTAGCGTATTTGCGAGCTGCGAATACAGTACATAATTAAATTGATGTTTTGTTTTTATTTGTAATGTTAATTGATGCAACTAGTCTGTGGTTTAACCTACACCGCCGCATACTTGGAAACGTGTTTCCGTTGCCTAGGTAACCAAACAAATTTAAAAATGTAAGCATGCTGTGGGAATGGGAGATTTGGTCTGTACTTATTGTATAACACGCTAATAATAGTGTTAATAAATGGATAATGTTAAATTGATGAATTGTATTGTAAATCAATTAGTATGATGCGAAAATACGTATATAAAATGAAATCTGAAAGTATGAATAAGAGCATGATAAATTTTTTATGGAGTGTGTATGTTTGTTGTTTGGGTGTCGTAAATATTATGGAGTGTCCTGCGAAGTGTGTAAATTGAACGGAAGAAATGTAAATAATGCGAAATAAAAGAGGTCTTTATCGCGCGCGACGGCGACGGCTGCGGCGGGCTTTGGTTTAATTAAAAGCTGGTGCATTCTCAGACATCCTTGACCACGCTTTGTTTTTGTTTCGTTTGTTGTTTGACAATCGAAAGAAAGATGCGTCGCGTCTTGTATTGATTCATAAGAAAAAGCTGCGAGAGAAGAAAGAGACGTCTGCGACGACGGCGGAAGTTTTTTTTCTTTGCGATTCCCTTCGATGCGAGATGTGAGTGAGTTTTGTATAGCGACGAGATTCGCGTCTTTCGCCTCCTAATCGCTTCATACAAATGAAGTAAACACGAAAATAACAATAGCTTCGAAGATAGAAGAGGAGTGAAGAGTCAATGCACTTGTCCGCTGCTGGGTGCATCGGCGTTGCGTTTCCCTTTTGCAAGGTTATGTTGTGCTACAAAATGGCTGCCGGCCGTTCTTGATGTATGCTGCGGTTCGCACGAGAATTCGCGAAATTAGTGTTAATTATGAGTAACTCGGCCGATTTCTGTTACATTTGTTTCGACAGCAACAAGGGCTGCAAGGACTACCTGAAAGTAGACGAGGAATGTCAGTCGATCGTCCAGAAATTAAAGTCCTTCGTCTCGGAAGTGGTAAGAAAAACAAAACAAACAAAACCAAAACACTGCTACTTGATCGCGTTGTAGCGAGAGCAGTCTTTTATTTTTTGCGTTGTCTCGTTATTGTCTTTTTTTCTTTTGTTGTTTTCATTATTGTTGCTTTTCACTTGAATCGTTGCCTTTTGTTCGGTTTGTTCAAGGATTGGTCTGCGAATAAGCGGCTCCTGCTGTGCGAGAAGTGCGTGAAAAAGTTAAATCAAGCCTTGGAATTCCGAAAGCAATGCGTGCAGTCCTCGGCCGCGCTGACAGTGTATCTGGTCGAAATCGAGAAAGCCAAGGAAAAGAAGGCCGCAGCGGTCGCAGCCAAAAAAGAAGACCCCATTGTTCTCCAGTACCTGAACCTACTGAAGAACGACAAAGTCGCGTCTAAGAAGACGGTGACCGGCGTCAAGGTAGTCACCAGCGAGCCGCAGATCTATCCGGCTATCACGAAGATCATCCTCACGAACCAAGCCAATTCCTTTCAAAACGTCTTCGTCAATCTGCTGCCCAGCAACGTGATCAGCACCAAGACGCCAATAGTACCGCAGGTCATCATAACTCCACCGAACGATACCAAAAAGCCCGAACCCGATGAGGTCTCCAAGCTGCTGAACGACACAAAAACGGAGGAGGTCAGCGTCGAAGTGGACCCACTCGACTTTAACATGGAATCGGAGAAGACGACCGAATCGAAGCCGGCACCTCCGCCGCTTCAACAGCCAAACAACTTCCGACCGATCCTCCCGAAGCTCAGCGAGAACTACAACTACACCAACGAGGAGAAGATGGAGTTCTTTAATTCCGGTCACTTCCTCTTTCAAGGCGCCGACAAGTCACAGTACTACTGCGAGAAATGCATGATCCAGTTCGAATCGTTGAAAGTGCTGAACAACCACATCAAGCAGGTGCACAGCTCGCAGTACCCATACAAGTGCGATCTGTGCAGTGCGGAATTCGCCACCAAAGAGTCCTACAAGTCCCACACATCTCAACACTCCATCGAGTCAGAACTGGTCACGAACTCGATCACACTGACGGACTTTGCGACGAACAGTCCGAAGATCAACGATCTGATGCCGCCAATCGACGTGAAACCGGAACCGCAGACGGAGGAGGAGATCAAATGTGATAAATGCGACAGGAGCTTCGGCTCGAACCAGGGTCTGATCCGGCACCAGGCCAAGCAGCACAAGTCCTCGACGAACCGCAAGAAGTACTTCATCAAGGGCATGAAGAACGCCAAGTGTGATATCTGCAACCGCATGTTCTCGACCACCTCCTATCTGAATCTCCACAGGAAGCTGCACGACCGGAAAGGCGAGTGGCGGAGGAAGATCTTCAAGCCTGAAATAGAACCGCTGAAAACGCAGGTGATCGATATGATCGACAAGCTCGGTTACGACCACTCGGATATCGATGATGACGACGATGGGACCGATATGATGTGGTAATTATCTAACCTGATACACACACACTTGATGTTGATAAGTAATTTCCAATTTGTATAAGGCATTCGAAAACTGCTACATTACAAATTGCGGTCGCTGTTGTTGTTATAGGGCTGTCCAAATTTCTCGAAGATCAAACCACATATTTGGCATAGATTAGGTAATTGAATTTTTACTTTTGTTTATGAAAAAAAAAAAAGATAAGGAAAGGAAAATGTGTTCAGGGATTGGTTTGACTAATAACTGCGTGTACGCGTGAATTCATCCTTGTCTTCTAATTAAATCAAACTAACATTACAGACAATCGTGCAAATCAATTAACACTTATCGTGAAGCTTAGGGGGAGGAGTTTTCGCATTGATTCATTCAGAGTAACCAAGAGACGTCCAGGGTTGGATTTTCTTGTTTAACCATCTAGGTTTGTTATGGACTATTCTCAGGTAGCAAATCGGAAATTACTTACAGCCGCGACTTGCGCCGCAGCGATAATAAATTTGTGATTCATTATAGCATAGATAATGTGAGTGCGTATCTGGAGACGTCCATGAGGGAGCCTGCCATGGAATTGAGGATAAAACAGGTGGACAATGGTATGTTCATGCTAGACTAAGTATCCGGCACGAACTAACACCAGATCCCATTCCAGGTTAGCTGAAGAAGGATAGATGCGAAACGAAAAGTGCTGCTCTTCACTCTACTGTATGGAATAACAGAAACGGATGTTTGGTTTTCATTTTGTTGAACAAAATAAGTTGAGACAATTTATTTACACAGTGAGTTTGAGAAACTGGTGGAGTGCAGTTCATTTACGATCTATTATTACGTTTTCAATCAAAAAAAAAAGAAAGAAAAAAGTATTAGATTTCTGAAGGGAGGGAGAGAGAGAGAGAGAATGCATCATGATGAGTCGATAAGGGTCGGAGAGATGATAAACATTATATGATAATGATAATCCTAAAGAATCAAAAACATACAATTACTCACTTTTTATTTCTTCATTTAAATGCATATCACTATTTTATATTTCTATCATACATGATTAATGATTGTTTAAGTTTCAAAAGATATTTTATGATCAGAATCGATTATATATATTTGTATATAGATGATATATGAGGGAAAGACGAACTATGGAAAGTGAATTATTTTTGTGTAAGCAAAATAGAAATGAAAACGAGAGAGTAACAAAGTTTATATTTTGTTGTTGGATTGTGCTGGGCGCATCTTTACTTGGTCCAAAAAGATGAATTCGTTTTCTTCTCACCTCGTTCCTTCGCGAAGCAAGGAGTGGTAAAAACTGCATTTGTGATAATTTTAGTGTGTAAGTTCATTTCGTTTAAGGGAAAGAAATTCTAATTGGATCGTTTCCGAAGGGAATAGAGAGAGAGAAAAGTGAAACATCGAGCAATTTTGGATCTAGTAAATCGCATCTGACGAGTGAATGTTGTTGCTTGATTACCTATTAGATTTAAGTTCAACATTTCTTCATCTCTTTCGTTTTATCATCAGACTGTTTAACTTAATTAATATACATATATAAATATATTCAATTTGTTTAAACAGTTTACATATATACATACATAAACATTATAATATTTTCTTTTATAATTTTCTCGAGACAATGCCATATACATAATATTGTAACTTTGTAACCGCTTTATGATTATTGTATATCCACCACAAACGATATATATATATAGTTATATACATACATATATATATTTTAAGCAAATCATCATTATTATTATTTTTGAAACGATTTCACTTCGTCTAAGACACTTACCACCCATTGCGGCATGTTCCTCGCCATCCTTAATCGAGTTGAAGGATTCGAGATTGCCATTGGCTGCCATTTGGTCTCATTCTTTTTCTACAAAAACAAGAACAAAATATCAACATACTAATATCATATCTTTCTTTTAGATTGTTTAGAAGATTTAACGGTTGTGCTTAAATGAAAACTCGACGAAGCCTCGACCCGGCACAGAAAGAGAAAAAAATCAAACGAATGTTATGTGTCTATAGGTTTGTAGTTTTTTTTTACAGTTTTACAAACAAACAAGAAAACACGAAATATAATAAAAATATTAAATGTATTTTCGCGTGTTTCTAATTTCAGCTTGAAGAATGTTTTGGGGATTTTATAGAGTTCAAGGATATAAGAGAATTGAAATACAATGAAGGTATGTTTATATTTAACTTTTCTTCTAATATTTAGAAAACAGGAATTTAAATAGTTATACTAAGTAAATAGTAATAACTTCAACTATTATCTATTTATCCAGTTTATATCAATTTATGTTTAGTACAGTTAAGCAACGTAAGTTGTGGTAAGTACATTGATGACTTTGAAAACTGGTTATAAATGAAATGATATCCAAGAAAAGCCTTTACACCAAAAATATTCTCACAATAAGCGCGGGTAAAGAAACTCGTTGTAGAGTTGCAGATACTAATAGAAATTGTATATAATATTATATACAAAGTTAATTTTAAAATATGTCTGTGTGTTTGTATATGTCAAAGCTGATTCATTTCGATAATAACTAAGTGGTAGTTGTACGTAGATATTCGTAATTGTGCCATCTTCGATGATGACGTTATTTATTTACATTCGAAAATTGATTTCGTAATGAGGTAAATGCCGGAAAAACTAATCCGGTACACGTTCCAGTTCCATTTTATGTCGTTTGGCAACGGGCCAAGTGTTGGTTTTGTTTGCGGACATTCACATGAGGTGGAAGAGGTTTCACAATGCGTTTCCGTCGCCCCCAAACCGTATTTGCGAGATGCACACAAACCGGACGGAAATCTTTATCCCTTGCTCCACTCCATTCCAAAACAAAAATAAATAAAAAATGTTCCATCCTGGACCACGCAAAGCTGCAGAGCAATGCGTTTCGGGCGTCGCTGACGCACCGGCCAATCTTAAATAATCGCGTATTTATATTTGCTGCTGCGCCACGAAATCGGCAATTTCCCCCCTGACTACAAGCTTTTTAATTGGGACAAGTCGTTGATTGGATGGAAGATATTAGAGATACGCATTAGATAATATCCAAAACCGGGCAATGATGACGATCTTTTTGTTAACACAGTTTGTTTTGTAAGAAACGGAACAATAATAATTCGGCGTCTCGATGCGATGCGACTCCTCGGATAACTTACGTTGTTCATTCTTCACTTCTGTTGCGAATTCCTCTGCGACGCAACGTAACTTCCGGCCGGTCGGATGAACCGCGAGATTCTCTTCTGCTGGTGTTCTTTCTTTCTTTTGCACGGGTCTTCTTCGAACGAAATATTGTTCTTCAACGTGGACCACCGCAAGCCATCGGCACGCACACCGATCTCATCTTTTTCCCTCTCTATTGGGATTACGGGATGCACGGCCAGTCTCGCTAATATTAGCCCGTCCGTTTTTGTCACCTTGCCAATAGTCGGCCTAAAAATACGTCCCTAGATATTCCCGTCTCTACGGTCCACGTCTCTGTTTTTCCTTCTTGAACGCGCCACCAACACAGACGGAAGGTGCACTCATTAAATAACTATCCAGACAACTTCTGGCTTGCATTTCAAACACACACACACTCTCTCTTATTCTTGTCTCAAGACAACAAATGGAGCCTTCTTTCATATTCGTTCGTTGGTCGAAATATCAAATTATATTTAGTTCCTTTTATCACTCCGTGTGGTATTCAAAGGGCGCGCATCATTATGATTGAGATATTCCTTAAATATCACAAATCCTATTGTTAATCGCCAATGCAATTATAGATATTAATCGAATATTGAAAGTAAATAGTAGTTGCAATTAGCGAACAGTTTCAGTAGTCAATTGGAGCTCAACGTATTTATAGTAAATGGTTGCAGCAATTAGCATAAACATGATTTATTGAACTTAAAATTAATGTTTGCATAAAATAGTTTCTATATTATAACAAAAAAATATATTATAGGAATAAGTAATCAATCAACCCTATTTTTTTTTATAAAGAAGTTATCAATATACCTTTGTCCAATATATAAATTTCAAAATATGTATATATAAATGTTAGAAGGTATAATATTTAGACGAAATACATGGGTAAGTTCTTGCGTATCTTCTCTAGCAGTTGAACGTTATATCTTTCTGGATGTTCATATAGATCTTTAGGATCGAATACGATGTTGTGTACATAGCATTTGGCCCTGGCGGCGGCCAAGTGAGCGTAGTAAGTTGGAGCCGGATAACTGACGGATCTGGTGCACCTCGAGAACATGTGACAAAGACTGTACGTGATGGACTCGAGTTGGTCGTTGCTGAACTTGTGGTCATCCCAAAGGGTAACGTACTTGGTCGGCTTCACCACTCCCTGGAAGCTGGTGTGCGAGACCAAAAAGAAGTTCTGACAATTTGGACTGGTTATCTCTGAGTCCACGCAAGTACCGACGTCCACGTTATATTCTGATTTCAGATTAGATGGAAACAGTCTGGTGTGATGACGCTTCTGCACCACGACGAACGTTATAGAAGGCTTAGTTTTGCAGAGGGCGCTGTACGCTTTCCTGATGGCGGTCAATTCGTAATTCAGGACATCCTTGAACTGACCATTGGATACGCCGTCCCTGTAGAAGATGATGTTGAGCGGGAACGTGCCATTTGACTCCTTGTAGTACATCAGATGGTCTTTGACCAGTTCGTCCAAGTTAGTGATCAGCTCCCTTCCGGGCGCCTGCATTTGGAACCGGATGTTATACTTGAAACTGGACTTATCGTGGCACGCGGTGACTGCAGCCACGCTGGGCGTGTCGTTGCTCTCCGGACTGGGATGGGTCACATCTGCGCCCATGAACATAGTGTTCGGCGGAAGCGGATACGTCGGTTTTATATCGTGATTAACGCCGTTCAACTTGGCGTTCACCTTCAGTAGAATATTGCTGAGTGTCGAATCCTTCATGTTCTTCATGGTATTCTGCTTGATGCACTGCGTGAGTACACCTTTCATGATCTCTGCGGCCGTCTTCACTCTGGAGTATACCATATTGTCATCCGGAATGACGACAAATACTAAATCTTCGCTAGTAATATACTTGAAAATATCTGCTAGTTTATTGGAAACTTCTTTTCTCTGGACCTTCGGAGATTGTCCTATTAGAGATATACCGTACTGTTTGCATTTCACCTTGAACTATAATAGGAAAATATGAGATTATAGCAACTATTAATTCTAAATAAACATTTAGAAAACTTACCAATTTTATAAAGTTTTGGATACTAGCATCATTGCAAAAAGCATCAACTATGATGATGCTCCATTCGCGAATGGTTGCAGTAGTCTTCATTCGGTTCTGCCTCCAGGCGCCTTTGGACGGCTTCTGAATATCACGATCGCCCGGCCCAACCAATACCACGGGTGCTGGCAAAATTCTAGCATTAACCAGTTGCGGTCTATCGCTGACTTTCAAATCGAAATTCTTTATAACAGGATCACTGGAGTAATTAGCACGTCGTATATTCTGCATAATGTTTTCCATTCGTTGATTTGATTTTGTAGCGCAACGGGCTATCATATCTCTGGTCTCATCAGCGGCCATCTTCTTGTTGACTATCTGATCTGGGACAACAGTGCACATTTCCATAGGTATCATCACAGTATTTTTACCGGCAGAACATTTCAGGCACGGCAGATCGTCCCTATATAACTTTACTCTTTTAACTTTCAGAAAGTAATCCTTAACAGACATACTTTCGCCTGACGTTAGATTGAAAAATTCCTTAGAAGGAACCGTACCAAATCCTAACGCTTTGTAAACACGTGAATTTTCTCCATCTGACGATACATATTTTACCAGCACCTGTAAAACGCAAATTTAATATTATCAAATTGTTTTGTATATGGTATGAGAAAATACCCTCAATCCTTTAATCCACTTGTCAATGGTAGTTATTTGCCTTCTACCGCTTTCATTTTTATGCGTATCCCATATTTGAGCCATAGATCCATGAATAGGAAATCCCTTATTAGCAACGTCTACATTCAAATAAGCTTGACTGCAGCCCAAATTTATGGACTGGAATATTCCTCTGTACAAACAATACACGCTACCTGAAAAGTATTCACAATTTAGAATTTAAAATCACCCATAAATATAAAACTATCCATACCAAGCATGATTTGCTTATCAGGCTTGTAAAAAATAGATCGTCCGACTGGAATGTGTACATTCGACATCGTGTGTCTCAAAACCAGTTCCAAAGCATGGACAACGCTCTTATTCTCAATCTTTACTTCTTTGCCTGCTTTCGGGCCATAGAAACCCCCGAAATTGTCAATATTCAATGTTGCTACAACCTTGTACGAAATAGTATATGACTTCGACATCATTGCGTTAGAATGTTGGCGTATATCTTCTTCCAACTGTGTCTGCTTCCTGTCCCCTATAGCGACTACTCGCGTAAAATCACAGGTAACCTCAGCTTCCTTTTCCTTGAACAACATCGCCGGACTAATCAGAGTTTTGCGTCCATCGTACGCCGGATAAAATCGCGGATAGTGTTCGGACCTCGCCCTCTCCATTATTATTCTCTGTATGCCCTTCGACATCATCGGCGTAATGTTGATATCGTATTGATATATAGTCTTTACATTTCCTGTGCACAGCGGGAAATGATTTGTATATACTTGAATGGCCTGACCAAGTTTTCCCGGATGATTAGGTACCACCAACAACTCGTAATTGTTGGGAATATTTATTGGAGGTAATTGATATCTCTCCATCGTGCCGCCAGACGATGAGTCTCCTTTTTGCTGCGGAGTAGAACCTGCAGGATAAATATTTCATTTACATTATTATATCATAAACATTGAATACAATGTTTTGTTGTACCACAACAAAATTGATAATTTTGAAACTTATATAGAAATTTCATATCTATAATATCATATCCAAACCTATACGATCAGTACAAAAAATGTAACGGAACATGGCCAACGCAAAGAATGAATTTCCTTATCTGATCGAGACGCTATTAAGTACGCATGTTCATGGTTTCATGGCAAATTCATCCAAATCATCAATTTTAAGGTGTGCATATTATAAATGATAATTGAAAGTGTATACACGTAATTTTATAATTAATTCAGAAAGAAATTTACGTTTAATTACAAAAACAATAACGTGTCGGGAGGTTTAGTAATGAACTATAATGGAGAGCAGTTTCTTACTTATGGGTCCTACTGGTCCTTTGCTGGGTTGAGCTGTTGCAGTTGGTCCTGCAGCTTGTTTCATTGGATTGCCTTGACCCCATGTAGGCTTTGGAGGTGCCTGCTCCTTAGTACTTGCTGCAGGTTTACCCCATGCACCAGTCACTTGCCCCTGTTTAGCCTCTGCAGATTGCGGTCTTTGCTGTTCCGGAGGTGGTAGCGATTTACCCCATCCTCTCGCTGCTTGCTCCTGTCTAGGCTGTACAGATTCTTGTGGAGTTTGCTGGCCGACCTGCGACCATCCTTTCGCTGCTTGCTTAGGTTTTGGTAATTCTTGTGGAATTTGCTTTTGCGGTGTTTGTTGCAACTGTATCGGAGGTGTTACCGATTTGTCCCATCCTCTCGCTTTTTGCTGCTCCTGTTTAGGTTTCGGAGATTCTTGTGGAATTTGCTGGGCGACCTGAGGTGTTTGCTGCACCTGTTTCGGAGGTGCCAGCACTTTGGCCCATCCTCTCGCTGCTTGCTCCTGTCTAGGCTTTGCAGATTCTTGTGGAGTTTGCTGGCCGACCTGCGACCATCCTCTCGCTTCTTGCTGCTCCTGTTTAGGTTTCGGAGACTCTTGTGGAATTTGCTGGGCGACCTGCAGTGTTTGCTGCACCTGTTTCGGAGTTGGTAGCACTTTGGCCCATGCTTGTTGCTCCTGTCTAGGTTTCAGAGATTCTTGTGAAGTTTGTCGCTGGTGATCCCCAGATCCGCGATCCTCATAAGGTTTATTCGTCTGCACTACTGTCGGCAATGCTGTCTCAATAGGTTTGAATTTAGTTTTGCCTTTTTTCGATTTTTTACTGACAGGAGGGGCTGGTGGTTTACTTGCTGCAGCAACATTGTCATCATCACATGCTCTTGTGACAACATCATCTTTAACAGTATCCATTGAAGAAGTGGAAGGTGACTCATCTACAGCACTTGATGGAACAACATCTTCTACAGGAGCAGACTCAGCCTCTTTCTTCTGTTTATTTTTCTTCTTTCCTAAAATAAAAATACATTTTTATTCTTATATATACATTGTTTTGCAAAATAATACTTATTACAATACATTTTAATTATTTTATTCTGAAATAGATTTTACTTTGCACAATTACTTTAATAGTCTGCCAGGATATGTGATACCCCAACCAACCAATTACTATATTCTCTTTATAAATCTATAATCTGAAGCTATGGACCACTGGCGTTTTTAAATTTTATTTTAGAGCAGAGGTTCCCAAACTTTTTTGTGTCGTAGACCCCTTGCCATGTTTTTTGGTTTTGAGTAAACCCCCTACTTACCTGATATTGATTTTTTGTAAATTTATTATTTATTATATGTGCAAATATCTTAATAATTATAAAGATATCCTAAT